CTACGCCCTCATCCATCCGGCCACCACGCTGGAGGACCGCACCTCGCTGGCCATGTGGCTCAACCACCTGGAGGAGCAGCTGTCTGCGCGGCCGCCGCCCCCCGGGCCGTACCATCACTGCCGGCAGGGGTCGGACGAGTGGCCCTGCTCCGCCGAAGCTCTGGAGAGCGGCTACAGCTGGCAGGAGAAGCTGCCGTCCACATGCAGCTCGCCGGCCTCGCACAACGGACACATGCCTTTCCCTGCGGCGGGTGGAGTCAGCTCACCTGTCAACAGCAGCAGCACAGGTAAGCCACTGACCTGCAAGAGTACAGCGGGTACAGATTCTTTGAGTCTATTTACATACTTATGTAGACAGTTGTTGAGTTTTTATATTCATTTCAGTAATGTTATTGAATAATATGCAGATGTTTGCCCTCAAAGCTCCACCCTCAGTGATTCTGATTGGCTCATTTGCCCTCAGTGCTCCACCCTCATTGACACCTGATTGGCTCATTTGCCCTCAAAGCCCCACCCTCAGTGATACTGATTGGCTCATTTGGCCTCAAAGCTCCACCCTAATTGACACCTGATTGGCTCATTTGGCCTCAAAACTCCACCCTCAATGACAGCTAATTTAAAATCTACCTTCATTGACACCTGATTGGCTCATTTGCCCTCAAAGCCCCACCCTCAGTGATACTGATTGGCTCATTTGGCCTCAAAACTCCACCCTCAATGACAGCTGATTGGCTAATTTAAAATCTACCTTCATTGACACCTGATTGGCTCATTTGTCCTCAAAGCTCTGTCCTCATTGATTTCTGATATGGTAATTTGTCTTCAAAACTCCACCCTCAATGACACCTGATCGGCTAATTTAAACTCTAATTGACACCTGATTTGCCCATTTGTCCTCAAAGCTCTGCCCTCAACACACGATTGGCTCATTTAAACTTCACCCTCATCGACACGGATTGGCTCATTTAAACTCCACCCTCATTGATGCTGATTGGCTCATTTGTCCTCAAAGCACCGTCCTCATAGACACCTGATTGATTCATTTAAGCTCCACCCTCATTGGCTCATTTTACTTCAAAGCTCCGCCCTTTTAGGTAAAAAGATTCCTAAAATCAATAAAGAATGTTATTTTTGCCATCGGCCAATCAGAGCTGAGCATTGTTTGTATGATTTATTTACTACAATACAGTTTGTAAATTGATATATTCTGATTTTTAGTCCAAGTACACACTAATAATAATAATTATTGAAGCACATGCACAGACTTTAGTCACTAAATGTGTTCACTGCAGTTTTATTTATACAATATTACTCAAGTGTGTGCTTTATCATGTACATTTTCTATATTTATGTGCATCATTAAGCATATTTTTAATGTGATATTTCATAAAAAATAATGAAATAATGTTGATATAATAAATAGGTGAATATCTGCTCCACAGGACTGCCTGGTCAGGTGCAGCCGAGCCCACTGAAGCCCTCGATGTCACTCGCGCCTGCCAATCAAACGGCCTGCAGCTCTGATTGGCTGAGCCAGGATGAGGGCGTGGTCTGTCAGGGCATGTCTGGGGCTGAACACGCCCCCCTTTCTCCGCAGAGCAGCGTGGCGTCGTCCGGCAGCGAGCAGACGGAGGAACAGACCAACATGCGCAACACTTTCCAGGAGGACGGCAGCGGCATGAAAGGTGGAGATCATGCGGTGTACTCTACAGTTCTGATATTTACGCTATTTAGTTGTACGCTAGTGGATGTCCATCTGTACTCAAAGTAGTTCACACATGTATTTACTTGTGCCATAAAATACTCACCCTGATGTGTCTGTCTTTGTTTTTATCTCTAGCATTGTTTAGCCAATTATATTTCAGTACTCCGGGTTGCCATAGTGGAGAAAACAATGCATTTCATTCATTAAGTCATGAAGCCTCTCAGTGTGAAACTGCGCCCCCTGGAGGACAGCAGCAGCTGCAGAAATCACATGCAGACTCACAATTACTGTTTCTTTACTGCTGTGTGTGTGTGTGTGTGTGTGTTTTGTTCCTCCAGATGTGCCGGCCTGGCTGAAGAGTCTTCGTCTGCATAAATACGCATCGCTCTTTTCTCAGATGACGTATGAAGAAATGATGATTCTCACAGAGCAGCATCTGGAGTCGCAGGTAAGCTCCGCCCTCATTGACACCTGATTGGCTCGTTTGTCATAAAAGCTCCGCCTTCATCAAAACCAGTTGGCTAATTTAAGCTCCGCCCTCCTTGACACATGAATGGCTGATTTGTCCTCAAAGCTCTGCCCTCATCAACATCTTGTTGGTTCATTTAAACCCCTCCTCCATCGATACCTGATTGGTTCAGTTCACTTCAGTTAACCCTCACAGACAACTAATTGGCCTTATTATTTGTCCTCAAATTGGTTCGTTTAAACTTTGCCCTCATCCACACCTGATTTGCTCAGTTGCCCTCAAAGCTTCACCCTCAATGATACTGATTTGCTAATTTTTCCTCAAAGCTCCGCTCTCATTGACTCCTGATGGGCATCAACATCTTATTGGCTCATTTAAACCACACCTCCATCGAAACCTAATTGGCTCATTTCACTTCAAAGCTTAGCCCTTATAGACACCTAATTGGGTTAGTTGTCCTCAATGCTCTGCCTTCATTGACACCTGATTGGCTCATTTAAATACCATCCTCACTAATATCTTATTAGCTCAAAGCTCCATCCTCAGTAAGACCTGATTGGTTGTTTTAAACCTTGCCCTCACTGATACTTTTGGCTCATTTGGCTTTGAAGTTCCACCTTCAACAACACCTGATTGGCTCATTTAAAATCTGCTCTATTGACACCTGATTGGCTCATTTGTCCTCAGATCCACCCCCAACAAAACCAGATTGGCTCATTTAAACTCCGCCCTCATTGACACCTAATTTGCTCAGTTGTCCTGAAAGCTCTGCCCTCATCAACATCTTATTGGCTGATTTAAACCACACCTAATTGATACCTAATTGGCTCATTTGCCCTAAAAGTTCCACCCTCAATTGATACCTGATTGGTTCATATAAACTCCACTCTTATTGATACTGATTAGCACATCTCACCTCGAAGCTCCACCCTCAATGACAACTGATTGGCTCATTTAAAATTCGCCCTCATTGATATCTGATTACCTTTATTTTACCTCAATGCTCCGAGACCTGAATGGTTTATTTTAACTCCACCCTCATTAGTACTGTTTAACATATTTTACCTCAAAGCTCCACCCTCATTAAGACCTGATTGGCTCATTTGCCCCCAAAGCTCCACCCTCAGTGATACTGATTGGCTCATTTGGCTTCAAAGCTCCTCCCCCATTGATTTCTGATATGGTAGTTTGCCTTCAAAACTCCACCCTCAATGACAACTGATTGGCTAATTTAAACTCCACCTTCATTGACACCTGATTGGCTCATTGTCCTCAAAGCTCTGCCCACCACAGACAATTGTCTCATTTAAACTCCACCCCCATTGATGCTGATTCACTCATTTAAACTCCACCCTCATTGATGCTGATTTGCTCATTTAAACTCCACCCTCATTGATGCTGATTCGCTCATTTAAACTCCACCCTCATTGTTGCTGATTCGCTCATTTAAACTCCACCCTCATTGATGCTGATTCGCTCATTTACACTCCACCCTCATTGATGCTGATTAGCTCATTTAAACTCCACCCTCATTGATGCTGATTCGCTAATTTAAACTCCACGCTCATTGATGCAGATTCGCTAATTTAAACTCCACCCTCATTGATGCTGATTCGCTAATTTAAACTCCACCCTCATTGATGCTGATTCGCTAATTTAAACTCCACTCTCATTGCTGATTCGCTCATTTAAACTCCACCCTCATTGATGCTGATTCGCTAATTTAAACTCCACTCTCATTGCTGATTCGCTCATTTAAACTCCACCCTCATTGATGCTGATTCGCTCATTTAAACTCCACTCTCTTTGATGCTGATTCGCTCATTTAAACTCCACCCTCATTGCTGATTCGCTCATTTAAACTCCACCCTTATTGATGCTGATTCGCTAATTTAAACTCCACCCTCATTGCTGATTCGCTCACTTAAACTCCACCCTCATTGATGCTGATTCGCTCATTTAAACTCCACCCTCATTGATGCTGATTCGCTCATTTAAACTCCACCCTCATTGATGCTGATTAGCTCATTTATCCTCAAAGCACCACCCTCATAGACACCTGATTGATTGATTTAAACTCCACCCTCATTGGCTTATTTTACCACAAAGCTCCGCCCTCTTAGGAAAAAAACTTTCCTAAAATCAATGATGAATGTCATTTTATGCCATCGGCCGATCAGAGCTGAGCATTTATTGTTTGTGTGCTTGGTGTTTCCTGCAGAACGTGACGAAAGGAGCTCGACATAAGATTGCTCTGAGCATACAGAAGCTCAGAGAGCGCCAGAGCGTCCTGAGGTCTCTAGAAAAGGTGAGTAATGGATCCGTCTGCCGGGTTTAAGCTGCGCCGTGGGTTCACACGTCTCTGAACTCGGTGCTTCTGTTGCTTTCAGGATATTCTGGAAGGCGGGAACGTCCGGAATGCTTTACAGGAGCTTCAGCAGATCATCATCACGCCAATCAAAGTCTATGCCCCGCCCACTGCTGCCCAGAAGGAGGTGGAGCCTGGAGTTACACCTGTGGAGAAGGCAGCCAATCCCGGTGAAGAGAAGGAAACGGAGGGCTTTCAGACCCACAATCCCCCAGCGTGTGACGGAGAGTCCTCATCTCCACCCATTGCTGACGGAGACATCACAGGACAGTTCACACGCGTGATGGGGAAAGGTATATATACACACACACACACACACACACACACACGTACTCTCTCATTGTTTGTGTTGTTAATCTGGCAACCTGTGTGGAGTGGTCAGAGGAGGGGCTGGGGGATAAACCTCATTAATATTAATATAATAATTAATATAATTTTACTGCAATGCCCAGTTCAACCACTATGTGGCAGACATACACACTGCTCCATTACATGTCACTGTAAGCTCAATACTGGTATTTTCCAATATAAATAGTGTACTATTCTGTGCCGTCATCCTCACAAAGACTCAATGAAGCAGTTATCTAAACTATCCTGATTAAAGTGTTGATGGAATGAACTTATTTGATAAAGATTTAATCGTCAGATCTATATTCAAGCTTGAGGACTGCTGTCCTAGATGATATGTGCTGGTCAGATTCATACGGGGATATTTCGTGTGTGTGCAGTGTGTACGCAGCTGTTGGTGTCCAGGCCGGATGAGGAGAACATCAGCTGTTACCTACAACTCCTAGAGAAATGTCTGACGCACGAGGTGACTTACACACACACACACACACAAAGTCAATCAAGCTGGATTTATACTTTCGCATGGCGCACGCACCTCTCGAAATAAACAAGGCTTTTATTTTCGCCGCGTTCGCCGTTGTGATATTCTTTAAAACGACAAGGTGGTCAAAAGAAACCCACCGTGAAGTCAGACAGATAAACAGAAGTAGGAAGTTTCCAGAACTACGTCATGTCATTAATATCATTCAAGATTTTAACATTTAAACTTATTTTTATTTATTATTTTAATATTTATAAGGATTTTCATAGCCATTCAAGTTTTTTTTTTGCTGCATCACTTGCTTTTGTCCATATATTGGACAGTTTTTACCTAATAAAGTTTATTAAAATATTAATGACATGGGTTGCTCTACAAATATATCTTTCATTATGGCAAGAATAAAAGCAAAAAAAATGACTACAGATGAATACAGAAAGAGATTACAGATGTTTATTAGATGTAGGCCGCTCCACAATTCTCACATCACTGTCTGGCTGGTTTCTGTCCTCTACTTGTGCTAAAAAGGCAATAAAGCTCCAACATGCCTGACCATCATCACCAGTAAAGCCCAGAGAAACAGACACCAGTATAGTGTAAACTGATGGCTTCATATATTCCTTTCCAGTTATCAAAGAAGTCATTTGTTCCTTAATTTTAGCTTGTAACTTGTGAAGAGTTTTAAATTCAGTATTGTAACTTATAGACCAGTGTCAAACCTATGACTGCTGGAAAATAGTGCTAATTGTGTATCTGGTTTTGCCATGGCCTCTTCTTGCTTTAACAGACTCATCCCTCAGGCTTTTCCAAACCTTTTAACAAAAATAAATTCTCCTTTCCCAATTTCTAGCCAAGAATGATTGATCATCAGGTTATGTCTATGATCAGGGATCATGAAGAGGAGTGTACAGGCGTACTGTTTCAGCCAAAATCTCCTCAGAGTGTTTCATATTCATCTCAAATCAAACGAGGCGCTGCATGAACTGTTCACTCCAGTCTCAAAACATTTAGGGAGCTCCGCCAGCCGAAATCATGTCACGCACACTTAAAGCCAACCTCTGCAAACACATAGAGGACGTCACATTCACCACGCGCACTCAAGCGAACTAGCGGACAGTATAAACCAGGCTTCACCACACACATAGAGACAGACACACTCTCTCTCTGTCTCTCCCTCTTTCACACACACGCAAACGCTCTACTTTACTCTCACATACACACACACACACAAACATACACTAGTTCACTCATACAGTTACACACACAGACACACACCTGATAGTTGAGTAACCGTGTGTGTGTGTGTGTGTGTGTGTGTGTGTGTGTTTGCAGGCGTTTACAGAGACGCAGAAGAAGCGTCTGTTGTCGTGGAAACAGCAGGTGTTGAAGCTGCTCCGTCTGTTTCCCAGGAAACCCATGATGGACAGCGCAGTGTACCGGAGAGGGTGAGTGTGTGTGTGTGTGTGTGTGTGTGTGTGTGTGTGTGTGTGTGTGTGTGTGTGTGTGTGTGTGTGTGTGTGTGTGTGTGTGTGTGTGTGTGTGTGTGTGTGTGCACGCACTTGGATGGGTTAAAACGCAGAGCACAAGTTCTGAGTATGGGTCAGCACATATGACCACATCACTTTCATAGACCTGACTCCAGGATCACCGCCAGACTCTTGACCTTACTGTCTGTTGTTTGACCCCTGGAGTCAGGGTACACACTCACCTGGAGGAGCTCAGCTCTGCTCCTAAATGCAGTGACTTCAGCTTCTGTCTAACTGCGGAATATTCTGTTCAGATCATTGAGGATTTATATTTACAGACAGATATGAAGGTGTCTGTGTTGATTATGATGGAGGGTGTTCTTGTTTGTATAGTGAGTGATTATACTGTTAATAAATAATTGAGGGCTCTGTGTGTGTGCGTGCAGGTGGCCGGCGTACGGCTCTAACTCTCTGCCCACAGCTGGATCTGTGAGTGCGGGTTTGGGCCGGCGGGGGCAGAGAGGCTTCCAGATCCCCCCGCGAGGAGCTCCTCCATCGGGACGCATCAGTCTGATGACTGCTGGAGCTCTGAGCGGAGCGTCCCCGCGACACACACTCGCCAACCCTACTGCTGTCAGCGCGCAGGGACGACAGGTCAGACACACACACACACACACACTTGCATTCAAACCTGCTTCATTTACATAACTACTCACATTGCATTGTAATTCTAATGATTCAATTATGCAGATAGTGTTATTAATTCAGAGTATAATTATATAAAAGTACCATTAATATTTTAATACAGAGTTCACATCCCTGAGATGAAGAGAACATTTATAAAAAATAGGAAACATCCATCGGTTAAAGGTGACAGATGTAGATGAGTGTGTCAGGCAGCTTATATATATTTATGTGTGTGTGTGTGTGTGTGTGTGTGTGTGTGTGTGTGTGTGTGTGTGTGTGTGTGTGTGTGTGTGTGTGTGTGTGTGTGTTTCAGAACCTGTGGTTTGGGAATCCCGGCGGCAGCAACAGTATGCCGAGTCAGAGCAGAAGTTCAGTCCAGAGAACTCACTCACTTCCTGTTCACACGTCTCCTCAGACCATGCTCCTGTTCCAGCAGCAAGGTGCCACACACACACACACACACACACACACACACACACACATCGCGTCTCTCTCTATATATTATGTGCTCATCGGAGTTGCTTTGGTTACAAGCATTAAAGACTGACTGTAAATGTGGAGTGTGTTTGCACCCTCAGGACAGGTGTGTGTTTGTGTTATGGCTCGTTTCCACTGACTGGTACAGTACGGTTCGGGTCAGTACGGGTCACCTTTATCAGGCTTGCGTTTCCACCACAAAGCCCTTTTGGTGTGCGGGGTGTATGATAAAGTTTCAGTCGACGTCATGCTCGCTCTAAATGTCTACAGTAAAGCTGTACGGGTCGTTCACATATCATAATGAGCAGCACTCCTCACTACACAGCTGCTTTACACACATCAATACCTGTTTATAAATGTTCATTACTAACCTTCCTATGAACATGATTTGATTATAACTGCAGATTAATGACAGTGTGAAATAGGCTACTGTAACGTCTGTAATTATGTAAAATAAATATATAAATGAACATATATGAACACATACAGCCCCTTACAGTCTCCGATATATTATTAATTACAGAAACACTACACACAGCAGACATTTAGTGCTTATTTGAGTTCAAAAACACACGCAATATAGCCCACAGTCAGCGCAGACCTCTCATCTGTGCGTGTAATCTTCAGCAGCACATGTCAGCTCTGTTACAGAGTCATTCTGTCATTCCCAGTTCATAATAATCCAAAAGGTGAAGATAATCCCGGCAGTGTGTTCATGATTCAGGTTGCTGAAACACTTTTGCTCCTGTGTTTTGTCGGCTTCTCTTTTTTCCTGCGCTTCACTCTCGCGCTTGTCCTTTTCTTTCTGAATGGATCAGATGAGGGAGACACTTCAATAATCACACACACGTTATTATCAGCAGCTCAAGAAGTTCGTTATATCAAATATAGACGCGGCCACAGGCTCCCGGAAGAAAGCGAATACCGCTCGCACTTTTAGACGGACTCGTAAAACAACAACAGCACACGGCAGATTTTTCTTCTTGGCTTCGTGTCAGTTCATGGAGACGACGATGAGGTTTGTTTGAGCCCGGGTCATTCATGGCTGGTTATTATGTGCACATAGTATATATAGCATGTCTCGCCTTTGTATTTAAAAAAAACATGGCGGATCCTTTGTTTACGTTCTGTGTAGCTCCACGAGCTTGTGACGTATTTCTGTAACCAATCAGCGTTCAGCTGCGCGTGTAGCTCCACCTCTTTGTACCCTTTCTCCAGTTTGGTACCTTTTTCGAAAGGGTGCTGAAAAAGTGGTACGGTACGATTTGGTTCGGTACGCTTATTGACAGTGGAAACGGCCTAAAAGCGTACCAAACCGTACCACTCAGTGGAAACGGGCCATTAGACAGCATCCCCATATCTCTGTCTCTCTTCGCTGATTTCTGTGCTGGTGTTTTCATTCCTAGAATGCCAAGTTCCAGGGACTGATCTGGAGATCAACCCCACGCTGGAGTCTCTGTGCCTCAGCATGACAGAGCACGCCTTAGGAGGTATGACCAATCACAGCACAGCATGACACACAGCAGCCAATCACAGCACAACATGAAATGCAGTGGCCAATCACCACACAGCATGACAGAGTGGCCAATTACAGCACAAAATGCAGCAGCCAATCACAGCACAGCATAGCACGCAGAGGCCAATCACAGCACAAAATGCAGAATAGTGACCATGACACAGAGCACAGTGACCAATCACAGCAAACCCTGCAGCAGCCAATCCCAGCACACCACCAATAGCCAATAACTGTACAGCATGGTATAGCCAATCACAGCACAGCATGCAGCAGCCAATCACAATACAGCACCAACAGCCAATCACAACACAGCATACAGTGGCCAATCACAACACAATTCAACACAATACAGCCAGTCACAACACCCAGTACCCAATCACAGCACAGCGGCAGCATCCAATCACAACATAACATTCAGTGGCCAATCACAGCACAGCACCAACAGCCAATCACAACACAGCATACAGTGACTAATCACAACACAGCACCAACAGCCAATCACAACACAGCATACAGTGGCCAACCACAACACAGCACTAACATCCAATTAAAACACAGCATACGGTGGCCAATCACAACACAATATAACACTATACAATACAGCCAATTACAGCACCCAGTACCCAATCACAGCACGCAGCAGCCAATCACAACACAGCACATATTGGCCAATCAAACACAGTACAACACCAACAGCCAATCACAGCACAGCATTCAGTAGCCAATCCCAGCACAGCATGCAGCATCCAATCACAACACAGCACCAATAGCCAATCACAACATAACATTCAGTGGCCAATCACAACACAGCATACAGTGGCCAATCACAGCACCGCATACAGTGGCCAATCACAACACACAGCATCCAATTACAGCACATCATGCAGCAGCCAATCACGACACAGCACCAACAAGCCAATCAAAACACAGCATACAGTGGCCAATCACATCACAATACAACACACTCCAGCCAATCCCATCACAACACAGCACACATTGTCCAATCAGAGCACAGCACTCACAGGTGTCGTCCTCTGTCTGCAGACGGCATGGACCGAACGTCAACGATATGAACATGGAGAGCTGAAGAGGATTCTGGATGTCTGCGTCATCCGGCCGGCGCTCCAGTAGCCCAGCACACACACACATATACACACACACACAGCAGTCACTACAGCTCACACACACACACACACACACCACTAACTGTGTATATGTCCTCTAATATTTTTCTACTTTATTGTACTTAACTAAGTTTATTATAAAGGAAATACAGAAAACTATTATATTACGGAAGGGAGAGCAGGAAGTGGAGTGAGCGAGCGAGTGAGCGAGCGTTCTGATTGGCCGTGAGGAGGAATGGTGCTGAATAAGGGCTCCGGGGCCTGGCCGTTCATCTAGATGTGCGTTTACATCACTTCCTGTGTCCATCTGCCTGCATGAACTCTGGTGACGGACTTCCTCCTGTGGCTTTGGTTGGTTTCTTGTCTCTGTCCAGGTACCAGAGGTGTTCTTAGCACTTATATCTCCACGTACAGATGTTTACGGGCCGCCGGCGTCTGTGAATACAGCAGGACATCAGACTTTATCCAGATGATTTTTATATATGCGCAGATCTATGAAGCCAAGAGTGTGAGAGAGATCGAGCTGTGCTCATCCGCTGCGTTTGCTCCCCCCCTCCGTGACTGACGGCCAATCACAGACTCACTGATGCAAAAACCCACCAATCAGATTCCTTCTCATGCCAGAGGTTCGAGCGGTGCTTCAGATCCTTCATTTGTGCTGTTGTGTTTGTCTTGGAATGGTACAGTCTGTGAAAACTCCATTCGGCCTTACGGAGCATCAGAGTGGCGCGTGTGTGTGTGTGTGTGTGTGTGTGTGTGTGTGTGTTTCTGTTTTATACGTCTCTCAGAGGCTGCTCTGTGTCTAGTAAATCTTTATTGACTGAAGTCCAGCTTGTTTGCTTCATTGGTGTAATGGTTCAGTCTGTGTGTTAGGTCACTGCCGCGTGTGTGTGTGTGTGTGTGTGTGTGTGTGTGTGTGTGTGTGTGTTTGTGTGTTTGTGTGTGTGTGTGTGTGTGTGTGTGTGTGTGTGTGTGTGTGTGTTTGTTTGTGAGTCCAGAACGCGTCCCGAACGCCACTAAATCAACAGTAGGAGACGTTTTTCACAGAGATATAATGACCGGCTTCATTGACTCTGTGGAAAATGGTGTTATATGATGTGAAGACGTCATTTCATTAATGTAAACCTGATATGGAGACACGCTTTACTCATATATGTGAATATTCAGCACATTTGAATTTGGATTTTTTTATTTTTAATATTGACTACACTGATGAGAATTTGATTATTGATATTACTATTTTTTTGCTAAATAAATTAACTGTAACTACATCTTAAGAAATAATGCAGATGCAATATTTAGAGCAGAATTTATTTAATTTAGTTTTTATAATTATATTCAATAATATCTAAAGAATAATAATAATGCTGATGCAAAGTCCAGATCAGATTTATTTTTATTTATTTTTTGATGGATAATTATATTGACTAAAATCTAACATGAATAATGCAGATGCAATATTTAGACTGGAATTTATTAAATATTGTTTTTTTATTTTTTTATTTTAATAATTATAGACAAAAAATTAACTAAACTTTAACACAAATGAAGTCGATGCAGTGTCCAGATTTGATTTATTATTTGTATTTTTTATTTCACAAGTCTAACATGAATAATGCAAATGCAATTCGTTTAATTAATTTTAGTTTTTATAATTATATTCAACAATATCTAAAAAATGCTGATGTAAAGTCCAGATCAGATTTATTATTATTAATATTATTATTGATTAATAATTATAATGACTAAAATCTAACACGAGTAACGCAGATGCAATATTCTAATAAAGTGTTTAATTTTTACTGTTTTTTTATAATTATAGACTAAAAATAAACTAAACTAACACAAAAATAAAGCTGATACAGTGTCCAGATTTGATTTATTATTATTTTTATTTTACTAACATTAATAATGCAGATGCAATATTCAGACTGGGATTTGTTTTATATATATATATATATATATATTAGTAACTAAACTCTAACACAAATAATAATAAAAATAAATTATTTTTTGAGGAATATAATGACTAAAATCTAACATGAGTAATGCAGATGCAATATTCTAACCAAAATTAATTAATTATTATTGTTTTTTTATCAATAATTATAGACTGAAAATAAATATATTAATTATAGTAACAAAACTCTAACATAAATATTTTGATGCAGTGTCCAGATCAGATTTATTATGATTATTATTTGATGATTAATTGTAATAAGTCAGATGTAATGATGCGGATGCGGTGTTTCTCCTCTGTTAATGTGCGTGATGCTCTTAAATCTGATAGTCATGGTTATAGTGGTGCGTCAGACGTTTGTTCTTTGTGTGTGTGTGTGTGTGTGTGTGTGTGTGTGTGTGTGTTCACTCAGGATCATCATCACACTATGCAACAGCTCAGAGTTTCGTGTTTTTCGTTAGCTCAGATGTGGATCATTGCTGATAGCAGACCAAACCAAGAGAGACGTCGCTGGTGTGTGTGTGTGTGCGTATGTGCGTGTGTGTGTGGATCAGCCTGGTGCTGCTTCATCCTTCAGTCTCTGTGGTTCCCCATTGGCTGGTTTTCGGGGTCCGGGACCCTGGAGAGGAAACGCTCACTGCAGCTTCCTGTTTAATGGAGGAAACCATTCCAAAGATGTGCTTTAACAGCAGACGCGCCGGCCTCTGGTTTACCTGTCTGTCTGCATCTGTCTTTCTCTCCCTCTCTCTCTTTCTTTCTCTCCATCTGTCTGTCTTTCCCTCTTTTTCTTTTGCTGTCTGTCGATCTGTGTGTCTTAATCTGTTAGTCTATCCGTCTGTCTGTCTGTCTGTCTGTAAGTCTATCCATCTGTCTTTCTCTCCGTCTCTCTTTTAGTCTGTCTGTCTCTTTCTTTCAGTCCATCTTTCTTTCTCTTTTTTCTGTCTGTTTTTCTGTCTGTTTTTCTGTCTCTTTTTGTCTGTCTTTCTTTCTACTTTTCTTTCTGTCCACCTGTCTGTCTGCACGTCTATCGTTTCTCTTTCTGTTCATCTTTCTCATTTTTTCTTTCTCTTTCATTCTGTCGGTCTCTTTCTCTCCATCAGTCTGTCTTGCTCTCTGTCTGTTTGTCTGTCTTTCTGTTCATCCGTCACTCTTTTTTCCTCTTCATCTGTTTTGTCACTCTTTCTCTTTTGTCTCTCTCTCCATCTGTCTGTTTTTCTCTCCGTCTCTCTCTCTCTCTCTCTCCTCCAAGTTCTCTTTGCTTTATTGTCGCAGCATTATTGTTCTCAGTATGGCCAAAGCATTTAGAAGAGAGATATGGGATATACTCGCACTTATAAAACACACAATAAAGGAACCAAAACAGCCCAAAGCTCTAATATTACTTATAATAATCACAATTATAAACAGGGTAGATTATTTAATAAGGAAAATAAATGCAGTGCATTACTCATTCACATGTGGATGGTGTGCATGGATCTGTGGCTAGCTCAGCTATAATCTAAATATGTCTGCATATCTCTCATTTGTCAATAAAGCAACTTGAGCTCTCTCTGTCTCTCTCTCTCTCTCTGTCTCTCTCTCTCTCTGGCGGTGAGACCTCTGACTGTGAACCTCGGTACAGGCCGTCTGCAGGGCAACTACTTGAGATCAGACACAGATGAAAGGCGCTTGGCATGAGATATTATTATTATTATTATTAATATTATTATTATTATTATTACTGACATCTGGAGTGATGGGACTTGTGTGTGTTGCTCTGTTTGGTTCAATTCTTCTAATATCTTTGTCATGCTTCTTACCTGAATGGACATCAGAATGGTAATAAATTGTTCATGTTTTGCAGTGAGTGATTCTGTGATGATTATTACTGTGGTTTGTTTCGTTCCTGTAGTGTTTTCAGTTTGTCTCATTTATGAAAGCTCTGATTGAGTTCTGGCTTCATTAGTGTGTTTAATTGCATCGTATTACACATGATGATGTAAACTATTGATTATTCATTAGTTTTTCTTCAGCTTAGTCCCTTTATTCATCAGGGGTCGCCACAGCGGAATGAACCACCAACTATTCCAGCATATGTTTTACACAGTGGATGCCCTTTTAGTTGCAACCCAGTACTGGGAAACATACACACACACACAGTTTGGACTGTGGGGGAAACCGGAGCACCCGGAGGAAACCCATGCCAACACAAGGGGAGCATGCAAACTCCACATAGAAACACCAACTGACCCAGTCAGGACTCTAAAAAATCAATGTTAAATTATATGTAAATTATAGATTATTATATGCAGATTTCCCTAATTACTCGATGCAAATGACACTCGGTGAAATTTTCTTGTCATCAAGCATTAGGGTACAATTAGAAGTTGTATTGAACACACCTCCCAGTGATGACTTTATTTATTAAACATTAAAAATCTTAACATGAACTGTTCTGAATGATCTGAAAATGGTGATCTGCAGCATTAGGAGGTCACATTTACTGAGGTCAAGAGCTGTTTCAATTGAAAATATCTAAAAATTGCAAGTTATATGTTAAAAGTGCAAATGTTCTCAATAGGGTTGAGGTTAGGGCAGGGTGTAGGCCACACCATGAGTTTATCTGTTATGCAGCCAATGGCTCTGCGGTGTTCTTTGCAGCTCTACTGCTTGTTTTTTTTGTGGTCAATCAGAAACTCTCTTCACTCTGCTGAGGTCATCATCACACCCTCATTTCAATACTGATTATACGTTTGTCTGCATGCCCACAGCCGCAAAATGTGGAGGCTTTCATGCCTAAACGCATCGTTCACTATAACATGATCATTGTTGATTTCCTCCCCCACAGGTTATTGATGATGTAGGGGGGTGAGTTTTCCTCAGTAGAACATTAGCGGAGGGTTTGAGCTGAATCTGTGGGGCTTCTTCACATAATGGCAGTAGATGGTGACTGGAGCTTTACATGTACTGAATGTGATGGAAATTATTTCAGTAAGAGCTGTGAAAGCAGAGCACAGTCTGTGATCATCTGTGAACGTGTGTTTCTCCTCCGGGTGTTTTTCTTTTTAACCGCGAACTAGCAGGTGTGTGTGTGTGTTTGTGTGTGTGTGTGTGTGTGTGTGTGTGTGTGTGTGTGTGTGTGTGTGTGTGTGTGTGTGTGTGTGTGTGTGTGTGTCTGTGTGTGTGTGTGTGTGTGTGTGTGTGTGTGTGTGTGTGTGTGTGCGTGCGTGCGTGCGCGTGTGTGTGTGTGTATATGTGCGTGCGTGCGTGCGTGTGTGTGTGTGTGTGCATTAATAATGATCATTTCTGTGTGTTTGAGATGGCCTCAGGTGTAAACATCAGATAGTTTATTTCTCTAAAGATCATTTGTTTTTCAGCTAATATTCATAAAGCAATCTACATTTACGCAGTAATATTTGTTTAAACATTTAAAAATGGAATAACTGCTATCATTTAACAGGTAAAGAAAAACTAAATATATTAATTTGTTAAGAAATGATGAAAGATTGTCAGTAATAAGCACCTCTCTGTCCTGTGGCATAGTTTATTTACAAAAGCATTGATCAAGAGTACGTTACTTATCGAGAATACAGTAATAGTAATGCAGTATCTGCCCAATTTAATATTTCTAAATAAACCTGCACCAGTTATTAAACCATATTTCCATCAGCTGAGATTTTAAGAGAGCTTATGTACTGTTGTGTTATTTATTAGCGCATTACTGATCTTATGAGACTTTGTGTTGTGTAACATTAGTGCTGCTGCTGTACTGTGATCTATAGATTGCCAAATTCTATAGCTTATTAAATCAGAACGGGTTTCATTACCATAATTACAATTAGGTAATGTTGAATAAACACTTCAAAAAATACTAAATAAAGAGGCGTCAGAATATACAAGCATATTTTTTGCAAATAATTAAATGTACATTTACCCTGGAAAAGGTTGCAGTTTGAAATTAAATTGGTTTTTTTAGCTAAATTCTTATTTGTAAAAAATGCAAATATCATCAAACGGGCACGCGCCAGCGCACACGCCGGCTTATCTGTACACGTGCACGCGTCGGGAGCGCGCAGAGCTCATCATGTCCTCCAGGTGGATTTCCCTGTAGTCTCTCCTCAATCTGACGGTCTGAATCTTCACCTTCGTCACCATCATCATCATCATCATCTCTCCGGTGTGTGTGTATGATGCGTGTGCTGCTCTTCTGCACGGCGGTGTGTGTTTTCTCCGCTGGAGGTGAGTGTCAATCTGAATAATGTAAATGACGCTGGTTAATTTATGGTAATTTGCTGATGTTTATGCGCGCTGCTGTTCATGCAGATGTCGCCACTGATGTGTGTTTATGTCTGTAAACTGTAAAAACAGCATCTTTTATTATTGAACCGACCGTGTTATATAACTGTGTGTGTGTGTGTGTGTGTGTTGAGCTCGACAGGTGAGACAGGAATAGCCGCTGTTTGTGTTAATCTGCTGGATTATTGGCCTGCGTGAACGAGGCGCGGGTGCGCGCATTTGCCCGATGCACGCGCACTTGTATAAAATCATCGATTAATAATAAACTAATGATAGTGGTGTTAGCCAGGATGATGAGTGTTGATTAAACGCGTTTTATTTAACCACTAGGCAACATGAGCCCATAAACTCCTGACAGACAGCAGCAGAGCGGCCTCATTAATATTCATATTTCACTGAGAAACCTCCTCATTAATATTCAACAGGTGCGTTAATAGACAGAGAATCGGATCGCGAAAGCGAGTTAAGACCTCTTTCAGGCATCCCACATCAGAAAAATACTAAAGTAGTTTATGATAAAAAACCCTGAACGGTTTACAGGTTTTAAAACAACTATTGTGTAAAACACTGCTTATATTATAATATTTACAGCACTTTGTATATGTATTATCAACTATTAGATGAACTGTAATAAATAATGTAGTGTGCTTTAGTTTTATTATGGTAACCTGTGGTGTATTGTAGAATAATATACGCTATAGCTGTAAAAAATACAGTACTGGGTCATTTGTTAGTTACTATAGTTATTAATGTTACCATAGCAACTGTAGAATCACCACAGCAGACTAATTACTATTGTTGTGTTACCATAGCGACATGAATCACCACAGTAGATCAATTACTGTAGTTGTTGTGTTACCATAGCAACTGTAGAATCACCAAAGCAGATTAATTACTGTAGTTTTTTTGTTACCATAGCAACTGTAGAATCCCCACAGCAATTACTGTAGTTGTTGTTACCATAGCAACTGTAGAATCACCACAACAAATCAATTACGTTAGTTGTTGTGTTACCATAGCGACTGTAGAATCACCACAACAGATCAATTACGTTAGTTGTTGTGTTACCATAGCGACTGTAGAATCACCACAACAGATTAATTCAAGCAGGTTACTACAGTATGCTTCAAGAACTCGCTGTAGTATTTGCTGTACATTAATACAGTATTTTTTCATCTGGGATTTCTGATTTGCTCAGTAGCGAGTAACAAGCGGTCTATTTTGCTTCATTTATTTGCGTGTAATGCTTTGATCTCTGATTGATTTATTCAGTATAAACATATTCAAATATAATTATAATAGTCTAATATGATATCGTGATCAGTGCGTTCTCTGCATGTACTGTAGTCATTTTTATATGTTAATCTTTAGTGAGATCGGGATATCTGGATGTTTCTTCTCGTCATTTTAGTCTTCCAAGCTCCGCCCCTGAAGCTCCCGCTCATCTGCATACACTTGAGAGCCACGCCCACATCACAAATTATACTTAACTCAAACCGCCAGAGGAAACAGTCTGATGTTGAGATAAATGCAGCTGTGCTTATTTTTAATCTGCGATGGAAACGAGTGCTGACGTGACTACATGACCATCAGTATTAATAGAGTGTTCATTAATTACTGAGATCATCATGATTTAATGCCATTCCTGATGCGTTCTCTTGTCTACAGTGCGATGCCTCCCTCTGCCGGATGAGAAGGTCAGACTAGTGTTCATGATCACATTTCTGTTGTCATGATGAAGTGTGTGTGTGAAGTAACCTGTGTGTGTGTTTGTTCACCAGCCCACCACTGACTGTGCAGATGCCTCTGGCACTGCAGCCGACTGCGACAGACAGAAGACGGGTGAGTCTCACACACTTATCTCAATATCAGCAGGTGTGTAACTGATGTTTCTCTTCCGTAATGAAGTGTGTGTGTGTGTGTGTGTTCTGCTTTTGTGTTCAGATGAGGATGTTGTTGATGCTCGAGAGAGACATGAGGGTCTGCTGAGAGAATTACAGGAGCTGGCGGAGCATGGTTAGTCACACACACACAGACACACACAGACACATGCACATCGTCTCTGGATGCATTTAATAAATCATTCGCTGTAAATGTCCTAACTTTCTCCCCCTTGCGGCGACCCTGGCTGAATCATTTAAGAGTTGATACAGTCAAGTGTTGGTTCTGTTCACTTCAGTGTCGATTCAGTTTAGTTCAGTGTTGATTCTGTTCAGTTTAGTGTTGATTCAGTTGAGTGTTCATTCAGTTTGGTTGAGTGTTGATTCTGTTCAGTTCAGTGTTGATTCAGTTGAGTGTTCATTTAGTTTGGTTGAGTGTTGATTCTGTTCAGTTCAGTGTTGATTCAGTTGAGTGTTCATTCAGTTTGGTTGAGCGTTGATTCTGTTCAGTTGATTGTTGATTCATTTAAGAGTTGATACAGTCAAGTGTTGATTGTTCAGTTCATTGCTGACTCTGTTCACTTCAGTGTTGATTCGGTTGAGTGTTGATTCTGTTCACTTCAGTGTTGATTTTGTTTAGTTCAGTACTGATTCAATTGAGTGTAATTTTGTTCAGTGTTGATTCGGTTGAGTGTTGATTTAGTTCAGTGTTGAATCATTTAGGAGTTGATAAAATTTTGTGTTGATTTTGTTCAGTTCAGTGTTGATTCGGTTTAGTTTAGTGTTGATTCGTTTTAGTGTTGATTCAGTTTAGTTCAGTGTTGATTCGGTTTAGTGTTGATTCTGTTTAGTTCAGTTTAGTTGAGTGATGAATCATTTAAGAGTTGATACAGTCAAGTGTTGATTGTAAGGTTCAGTGCTGATTCTGTTCACTTCAGTGTTGATTCAGTTGAGTGCTGATTCTGTTCACTTCAGTGTTGATTTTGGTTGAGTGTTGATTCTGTTCACTTCAGTGTTGATTCAGTTGAGTGCTGATTCTGTTTAGTTGAGTTCAGTTGAGTGTTAAATCATTTAAGAGTTGATAAAATTGAATGTTATTTCTGTTCAGTTCAGTGTTGATTCGGTTTAGTGTTGATTCAGTTTAGTTCATTATTGATTTAGCTGATAGCTGATACTTTAGTTGATTCTGTTTAGTTCAGTGCTGATTTTGTTGAGTGTTGATTCAATTCAGTTCGGTGTTGATTTTGTTGAGTGTTGATTCTGTTTAGTTCAGTTTAGTTAACAGTGTTGAATCGTTTAAGAGTTGATAAAATTAAGTGTTCATTTTGTTCAGTTCAGTGTTTACTAAGTTGATTTATTGGTAACTCAGTTCAATGTTGATTCAGTTGAGTGTTGATTCAATTCAATTTAATGTTGATTCAGTCGAGCATTGACTCTGTTCAGTTCAGTGTTGATTTTGATTTAGTAGAGCGTTGATTCTGTTCAGTTCAGTATTGATTTGGTTGAGTGTTGATTTTGTTTAGTTCAGTGTTGATTCAGTTGATTGTTGATTCAGTTTAGTTCAATGTTGATTCGGTTGATTGTTGATTCAGTTTAGTTCAGTCTTAATTCGGTTTAGTGTTGATTTGGTTCAGTTCAGTCTTGATTCGGTTTAGTGTTGATTTGGTTCAGTTCAGTCTTGATTCGGTTTAGTGCTGATTCTGTTTAGTTTAGTTTAGTTGAGTGTTGATTCATTTAAGAATTGATACAGTCAAGTTTTGATTGTTCACTTCAGTGTTGATTCACTGTTGATTCAGTCAGTTGTCGTTTTATTTCAGCTGAATGCTTTTTTCCAGTTAAATATTGATTCCATTGTTGATTCAATCAAATGTGGCTTTATTCAAGTGTTGATTCAATTGAGTGTGGATTCATTCAGATGTTGATTCAGTTGAGTGTGGATTCATTCAGATGTTGATTCATTTAAACATTAATTTATTTAAATGTCGATTCAGTTGAGTGTGGATTCATTCAGATGTTGATTCAGTTGTTTGTGGATTCATTCAGATGTTGATTCAGTTGAGTGTGGATTCATTCAGATGTTGATTCAGTTGAGTGTGGATTCATTCAGTGTTGATTCAGTTGAGTGTGGATTCATTCAGTGTTGATTCAGTTGAGTGTGGATTCATTCAGTGTTGATTCAGTTGAGTGTGGATTCATTCAGATGTTGATTCAGTTGAGTGTGGATTCATTCAGTGTTGATTCAGTTGAGTGTGGATTCATTCAGATGTTGATTCAGTTGAGTGTGGATTCATTCAGATGTTGATTCAGTTGAGTGTGGATTCATTCAGATGTTGATTCAGTTGAGTGTGGATTCATTCAGATGTTGATTCAGTTGAGTGTGGATTCATTCAGATGTTGATTCAGTTGAGTGTGGATTCATTCAGATGTTGATTCAGTTCAGTGTGGATTCATTCAGTGTTGATTCAGTTGAGTGTGGATTCATTCAGATGTTGATTCAGTTGTGTGTGGATTCATTCAGTGTTGATTCAGTTGAGTGTGGATTCATTCAGATGTTGATTCAGTTGAGTGTGGATTCATTCAGTGTTGATTCAGTTGAGTGTGGATTCATTCAGATGTTGATTCAGTTGTGTGTGGATTCATTCAGATGTTGATTCAGTTGAGTGTGGATTCATTCAGATGTTGATTCAGTTGAGTGTGGATTCATTCAGATGTTGATTCAGTTGAGTTAAATTCATTCAGATGTTGATTCAGTTGTGTGTGGATTCATCTGATCTGTGGATTGATTGTTTGATTCAGTGGATTGTTGATTCAGTTGGGTCTGCTTGGTCACAGCGTGGTCTGATTGTGACTGTGTGTTTCCTGCAGAGCGAGAGCGAGAGCAAGAGTTCACCCGCGAGACAGACGAGTATGAGCTCAGCGACACCGACGACACCTGGGAGAACGAGGAGGAGGACGACAACGAGAGAGGAGCAGAAGAAGAAGAGGAAGATAATGGAGGAGATGAAGATGATGGAGGGGATGATGCGGAAGACGAGGAGCTCCTGCAGTCTGAGATGGAGCAGCGGCAGGACGAGGAGCTGGAGGAGCTGCTGGAGGAGCTGAAGAAGAAGCAGCAGGAGAAGAAGAGGCGCAGCCGGCTGCAGGAGGAGCAGAAGCTGGAGCAGGAGCTGATGCTGGAGAAGCAGAGGGTGGAGCAGGAGTTGCAGGAGTTGCAGGAGGAGCAGAAGAAGAACAGCAGCGGCGGCGATGGCTGGAGCAGACTGAAGCAGACGCAGGAGAAGCAGGAGGAGCTGCAGGAGCTGCTGAGGAAGATGGAGAGCGCACAGCTGGAGGAGCAGAAGAAGAAGAGCAGCGTGCAGGAGGAGGAGAAGAAGAAGAGGGAGATGGAGAACGCTAGCGATGAAGCCACCAGACAGTTCCAGACGGAGAGAGAACAACAGCAGAGGGAGGAGGACGAGGACGAGGTGACCTCACACATCCTCACACCTTACTATAATAGAACTGAAAGCTTGATTCTGATTGGCTGAGGAGCATTCGAATATTAATTCAGTCGAGTGTGAGTCGTCGTATGAGTTTATTACTTTATTACACCACAGGGCTATTGAATGCTTGATTCTGATTGGCTGATTAAATGATTCAGAAATCAGCTGTACAAATTATTCAGTCGAGAGTTGATTCAGTGTCGATTCATTCAGATGTTGATTTGTTTGAATGTTGATTCATTAAACAGTTGATTCATTCAGATGTTGATTCACTCATTTAAATGTTGATTCAATTGAGTGTTGATTCAATTGAGTGTGGGTTCATTCAGATGTTGATTCATTTCATTGTTGATTTATTCAACAGTCAATTCGTTCAGATGTTGATTCACTTGAATGTTGATTAATTTGAATGTTGATTCAATTGTGTGTCAATTCATAGATTAATTCGGAATTTGGTTCAATTGAGTGTGAATTCATTAAGATGTTGATTCATTTGAATGTTGATTCATTCGACAGTTGGTAAAATTAAGTGTGGATTCATTCAGATGTTGATTCATTTGAATTCTGATTCATTCAAATCTTCAATTATCTGAATGTTGATTCAATAGGGTGTTGATTCATTCAGATATTCATCCAATTGTGTATGGATTAATTTGATTGTTAATTCATTTGACGGTTGATTGTTTTGGATGTTGATTCAATAGAACTTTGATTCATTCGACAGTTGATTTATTCGACAGTTGACTCATTCGAACGTTGATTCAGTCAACAGTCAAGTTGTTTGAGTGTTGATTCAATTGAGTGTATTATTCAGATGTTTATTCAATTGAATTTTGATTCATTCAAATGTTGATCCAATTGAGTGTTGATTCATTTAGATGTTGATTTATTCAAATGTTGATTCAGTTAACAGTTGAGTCGTTTGAATGTTGACTCAAGTGTGGATTCATTGAAATGTTGATTCAGTCGACAGTTGAGTTGCTTGAATGTTGATTCAATTGAGTGTGGATTGATTCAAATGTTGATTCATTTGAATGTTGATTCAATAGAACTTTGATTCATTCGACAGTTGATTTATTCGACAGTTGACTCATTCGAACGTTGATTCAGTCAACAGTCAAGTCGTTTGAGTGTTGATTCAATTGAGTGTATTATTCAGATGTTTATTCAATTGAATTTTGATTCATTCAAATGTTGATCCAATTGAGTGTTGATTCATTTAGATGTTGATTCATTCAAATGTTGATTCAGTTAACAGTTGAGTCGTTTGAATGTTGACTCAAGTGTGGATTCATTGAAATGTTGATTCAGTCGACAGTTGAGTTGCTTGAATGTTGATTCAATTGAGTGTGGATTGATTCAAATGTTGATTCATTTGAATGTTGATTCATTCAACCGGTTGTTCAATTAAGTAGGGATTCATTCAGATGCTGATTCATTTGAATTCTGATTCATTCAAATCTTGAATTATCTTAATTTTGATTCAATAGTGTTGATTCATTCAGATATTGATTCAATGGAGTTTGGATTGATTTGGGTGTTAATTCATTTGACAGTTGATTCATTCACATGTTGATTCAATAGAAATTTGATGTTGATGCAATTGAATGGATTCATTTAGATGTTGATTCAACTGTGTGGATTCTTTCGAGTGTTAATAATGTTGATTCAGTCAACAGTTAAGTAGTTTGAATGTTGAATCATTTGAGTGTGGATTCATTCAGATGTTGATTCATCTTAATGTTGATTCATTCAACAGTTGAATCATTTAAATGTTGATTCATTCAAATGTTGATTCATTCGAATTTTGATTCAGTTGAGTCTTGATTCATTCAGATGTTGATTTATTTGAATGTTGATTCATTCGACAGTTGAATCATTCGAATGTTGATCTATTCAAATGTTGATTCATTCGAATTTTGATTCAGTTGAGTCTTAATTCATTCAGATGTTGATTTATTTGAATATTGATTCATTTGGATGTTCATTCAATTGAATTTTGATTAATTCGGATTTTGATCCAATTGAGTGTTGATTCATTTAAATGTTGATTCATTCAAATGTTGATTCAGTCGACAGTTGAGTCATTCGGATGACAGTGTATCTGAATGTTGATTCATTTAAATCTTGATTCATTTGATTTGATTCATGCTTTATCATACCACCTTGGAAGTTGACTGCGTGATTCTGATTGGCTAATGAGATGTGTGTGTGTGTGTGTGTGTGTGTGTGTTTCAGGAGCTGCTGGAGATTGAAGCTGAGCTGAGGAAAGTGGCGGCGCAGCTGCATCAACTACGCAGGGGTTAAACACACACATTTACACAGCAGACACACACACACACACACACACATGCATCTATATAAGCTAATTCTAGTCCATGTGTAAAGTTGTGTGTTTATAATCTCACAGCAAACACACTCATAAACACATGAGAGGAGAACACACACCACTGCTCATCGCAATATACCAGTGTAATAGCTTCACAAGCCACGCCCCCCTTAACCACCATCTCATGAATATTCATGTTTCCTCATTAGAATATGTAAAGATCCTGTTGTGATGCAATCCTCCAGTGATGGTGCAGTGAAGTGTGTGTGTGTGTGTGTGTGTGTAATAATAGGGCAAACGTGCACATATGAAGTAATAATAATAATAACAATAATGTGTTTAGTGCTGTTGACTGTTACTGTGTTCACAGAACGCTGCTGTGTGTGTGTGTGTGTGTGTATGTGTGTTTATGTATGTGTGTGTGTGTGTGAGAGAGAGTCATTCTGCTGTGTTTTATACACTGATGGCTGAGCACTGTTACACTGAGACTGTTCTGGGGTCAGAGCGCAGACGCTTTACTGCTCTAACACACACACACACACACACACACACACACACATCAGGAGCACAGCAGAGAAAATCTGTGTGTGTGAGTGTGTAATTGATTGAGTGAGTGAATGAGTGTTTGTAATTTAATATATATGTAGAATTGAGGGTGTTTGCAAGTGTGCGTGTGTGTGTGTGTGTGTGTGTGTATGTGTGAGAGAGATAGTTAGTGTATTGGTGTATAAGAGTATTTGTGAGCATGCCTGTGTGTGTGTGTGTGTGTGTGTGTGTGTGTGTGTGTGTGTGTGTGTGTGTGTGTGTGTGTGTGTGTGTGTGTGTGTGTGTGTGTGTGTGTGTTGAACAGAAAGCGTCAGTGTTCTCTTCCTTTATGTTGCACTTTCCTGAAAGCAGCCAATGAGAGGAGATCTGATCACAGACTCCGCCCACAAGCACACACACTGTTTAATTTGAACTGATCTGAGAAGAGAGAAACCAGCAATAAGAGGTGTGTGTGTGTGTGTGTGTGTGTGTGTGTGTGTGTGTGTGTGTGTGTGTGTGTGTGTGTGTGTGTGTGTGTGTTTGTGTGTGTGTGTGTGTGTGTGTGTGTGTGTGTGATCAGCACATGCATGATTTTGAATGTATCTGATGTTGAGCAGATCATATAAACACTGCAGTCAAACTAGAGTTCTGTCTTTAATTATTATTATTATATAATTTAATAAAGAGCTGTTGACTGAATAACACAGCCTCTGAGTCTGGTGTGCATGCATGTGTGTAAAAAAATATAATGTGTGTGTGTGTGTGTGTGTATAAATATATATGTTGTTTATGTTTATATTATATATATATATATGTTTATTTATGTGTATAAATAAACAGTCAAATTTTTTTTAAAGTTAAACTTTGTTATACAATTTTTTGACTCATTATTGCTCACTAATAAAAAACAAACCAAGAAAAACATTATTTAATTAACAAAAGATCCACAATTGGGTAATTCATGATATCACAATATTTTATTTTGAATAGATTATTTATGTGTTTGACCAATTCAATCTCTATAATGTGTGGGCAAATTTTATTTATTATATCTTTTGTTATTTTATTTATTTTTATTTCATAGTTTTTTTAGTTATTTGATTTAAAGTAATACATTTTTATATTTTTTATTTAATTTAATATATTTTATTTTATTTATTATATGTAATTTATTTGATGTAAATATTTTTTATTTCATTAAAAAATTTTAAATATATTAATAATATATTTTTTCAATTTAACTTTTATTATGTGTGTATGTATATATATATATATATATATATATATATATATATATATATATATATATATATATATATATATATGTGTATATGTATATATGTATATGTATATATATATATATATATATATATATATATATATATATATATATATATATATATATATATATATATATATATTTTTTTTTTTTTGTATTTACTTATTTTTTAGTTCTGCCATTGCACCTGTTCCTGTCTTATTAGGACGTCTTCTCTTTGGTCACCATATTCCTTCTCCTCAGGTGTGTGTTTGAGAGAGTGCGCGCGCGCGTGTTCTTCTTCCTCGTCGAGTGTAATGACGCGCAGGACTGAAAGAGAAAGTGAAAGAGTGAATTCGCTTATTCACTGCGGACTCGACGAGCTTCACCTTCAGCTGCAGCTTTTCTTCTGTCAATCAGTCATCGATAAAGCGTGTTTTCAGGATGTCTCGGGGCTCGAACGCGGGGTTTGACCGACACATCACCATCTTCTCCCCCGAGGGACGCTTATATCAAGTCGGTAAGAGATCGATCAGCTTCCCGATCAATCAATAACTCGGTTAAACACGCGTTCAGCTCCGGTTCGCCGCTGTAATGCTGCTGTTGGGGATGTAATAATAACGCAAATACAGTATTGTGTGTAGTTCTTTGACTGTTTTTAGTCTTATTCACTCCCTGCTGATGACAACAAACCGCAGAAACATCACAGGAGAGTTGAATAGTTACTATGACATACCGCTGGGCTGTTGTAGTCCAAAGTTGGGTCAAACATGGACAATAATAATCATAATTTAATTTTAAAAATGAATCCAATGATGGGTTTGTCCATGTTTGACTGACCCACCGTCGGTTTATGACAAGACATGCAACTAAAATCATGACATCCATCACATCTGAGCTACATGCAGGAGAGCAGTTTCAAATAGAGCTGCATTCTGCTCCAGCTCAGTCCCTTATTCATCAGCGCTCACCACAGCAGAATGAACCGAGGACTATTCCAGCATATGCTATACACAGCGGATGCCCTTCCAGCTGCAACCCAGTACTGGGAAACACCCATACACACTCATTCTCACACACACACACTACGGCCAGTTTAGTTGATCAGTTCCCCTATAGCGCATGTGTTTGGACTGTGGGGGAAACCGGAGCACCCGGAGGAAACCCACACCAACATGGGGAGAACATGCAAACTCCACACAGAAACACCAACTGACCCAGCCGAGACTCGAACTAGAGACCTTCTTGCTGTGAGGTCACAGTGCTAACCACTGAGCCACCGTGACACCCCAGTGCTGCATTAGTTAATGAACTTAAATATCATCAGCAAACCAATAGTATTATGTTTATTACAGTATTTCATCATGTTATTTCTCTGTTAATGTCATCCCATACAGAAGTGTAATATGGTCACATATATGCTATTATTGTTGAATATATTTAAATGTATTTAATATATATGTGTATATTCCAAATGCATTAAATTCCTGATTAAATTCCACTCACCGGCCACTTTATTAGGTACACCTCACTAGTACCGGGTCGGACCCCTTTTGCCTTCAGATCTGCTTAATCCTTTGTGTCAGAGATTCAGCAAGCTACAAATATTCCTCAGAGATTTTGCTGCATATTGTCATGATAGCATCACACAGTTGCTGCAGATTTGTCGGCTGCACATCCATGATGCCAATCTCCCGTTCCACCACATCCCAAAGCTGCTCTATTGGATTGAGCTCTGGTGACTGTGGAGGCCATTTGAGCACAGTGAACTCATCGTCATGTTCAAGAAACCAGTCTGAGATGATTGAGCTTTATGACATGCTGCGTTATCCTGCTGGAAGTAGCCATCAGAAGATGGAGACACTGTGCTCATAAAGGGATGGACATGGTCAGCAGCAATACTCAGGTAGGCTGTGGTGTTGATGCTCAATTGGTACTAATGGACCCAAAGAAAATCTCCCCCACACCATTACACCACCACCACCAGCCTGAACCGCTGATACAAGGCAGGATGATCCATGCTTTCATGTTGTCTGAGCCGAGCATCTGAATGTGTCAGCAGAAATGGAGACTCATCAGAGCAGCAACGTTTCTCCAATCTTCTATTGTCCAGTTTTGGTGAGTCTGTGTGAATTGTAGCCTCAGTTTCCTGTTCTTAGCTGACAGGAGCGGCACCCGGTGTGCTCTTCTGCTGCTGTAGCCCATCCGCCTCAAGGTTGGCCATGTTGTGTGTTCAGAGATGCTCAGCAGATGGTCTTGATCATGTCTACATGCCGACATGCAGTGAGCTGCTGCCATGTGATTGGCTGATTACAAATTTGCTTTAACAAGCAGTTGGAGAGGTGTACCTAATAAAGTGGCCGGTGAGCATGTAGTGGTATATTCATGTCGTGTCATTGAAATCTCTAAAATATTATACATGACAAGAAATTTGACATATGCATGGTCACTACAGCAAAGTAAGTAAATAAAGATAAAAGTGTGAAAAACTCTGCATTAACTAATGTTAGGAAGCAGTTGAACAGTTTGCATTAACAATTATGTTTCAACGATGATTAATAAACATTATCTTCTTACTCAGAGTTCTAGTCTTGATCTAATCCAAATATCTAAATATCTTAATTTTAAGTCAAGACTTTAATACAGTGTTATTTCAGAAATAAAGAGTCGAAATGAAGTAAACAAGCAAAGTAATCTGATTTTAAAGAGAAGAGAAGATTATTGTCAGATGATTTAGCTTGTTTTAATGAAAGACTCGCTTCATTTCGACTCTTTATTTCTGAAATAACACTGTATTAAAGTCTTGACTTGAAAATAAGATATTTAGATATTTGGACTAGATCAAGACTAGAACTCTGAGTAAGAAGATAATGTTTATTAATCATAGTTCAAACATAATTTTTAATGCAAAAAAAAAAACATTTAATTGTTTCTAAAATTAATATGTTCTGAAAATGCTTTTTGATTTAAGAGTTTGTAGATATTTAGACTTGAAACAGGACTAAAGGCATGTTCTGCTGACCTGGACTCAGTTTGATGATGAATGCTGATGTGTGTTTGGCAGAATATGCGTTTAAGGCCATCAGTCAGAGCGGACTGACCACGGTGGGCATCAGAGGAGTGGACTGTGCAGTTCTGGTCACGCAGAAGAAAGTGTCGGTAAATATACATCATTACATCAGCCAGTGCAAACCCAGAGATACACACACACACACACACACACACACACAGGAGGAGGATTCAGCGCAGACGACTGCTCACATGCTGTTTCTCAGGTTGAGGAGTTGTTGACAGTGTTTCCTCTAATATCTGTTCTTCTGGAGAAAGTCTGATGTGTTTTATTTGGGCTAGAATAAAAGCAGTTATTAATGTTTAAACACCATGTTAAGCTCAATATTATTCACCCCTTCAGCAATATTAGTGTTGGATTGTCTCCAGAACAAACCACTGTTATACAATGACTTGCCTAATTACCCTAACTTTACCCTGATTACCCTAGTGAAGCCTTTACATGTCACTGTAAGCTGAACACTAGTGTCTTGAAGAAGATCTAGTCTAATATGATGTGCTGTCATCATGGAGAAGAGGAACACATCAGTGATTAACACTGTTATGTGCAGAGATGTGCTGAAGATAATCTCTCTGTTACACAGAAATTGAGTAAAGAAATAAATAAATATATAACTCAAAGTTAAAAAGGGCTTTTCAGTCATCAGATTAATGCAGACGTCAGCATGTCCCCGTATGTGAGCGCTACATGAAGAGTTTTCCCTAACATGATAATGTTCTGGCAGTCTCAGTGTGTTGAAGATTCAGTAGCTGATGCTGTGAGAGCTTTACTTGTGTTTCTGCAGAGAAGCTGTGATGCTCTTAAATTACGCTGATCTGTGTGTGTGTGTGTGTGTGTGTGTGTGTGTCTTGTATTACTTACAACCTTAGGCAGCTAATGTCCCCACAAGAGCAGTAAATGTTGAACTTGTGTGTTGTTTGTTTTGGTTTGCGTGAGGAAAAGATCAGCAAACATGGAAACACAAGGTGTGTGTGTGTGTGTTAATAAGTGTGTGTTTGTGTGTTTGTGATGTTTAGGACACACTCCTGGACGCCTCTACAATGACAAACATGTTTCGCATCACTCCACGCATCGGCTGCGTCATGACTGGACATTACGGTGTGTGTGCATATGTGTATGTGTGTGTGTGTGTGTGTGTGTGCGCACATATAAGAATATAAATGATTTGTGTGTGTGTGTCCATGCATATAAATATATATAAATGATTTGTGTGCATATGCACTTATGTGTGTGTGCATGCGTGTGTGTGTGTGTATGCATATGTGCATATATATGTACATAAATGGTGTGTGTGTGTGTGCGTGTGCGTGTGCGTGTGCGTGTGCGTGCGTGCGTGCGTGCGTGCGTGCGTGCGTGCGTGCGACAGTGCATGCGTGTGTGCGTGCGTATGTGTGTGAGTGCTCATTCATGCGTGTGTGTGTGTGTGTGTGTGTGTATGTGTGTGTGCTCGCATTTGTGCATATGTATGTATATAAATGATTTGTGTGTGTGTGTGTGTGTGTGTGTGTGTGTGTGTGTGTGTGTGTGTGTGTGTGTGTGTACATGTGTGTATTCAGCTGACAGTCGCTCTCAGGTTCATCGTGCGCGTATCGAGGCTGGCGAGTGGAAGTATAAGTTCGGCTATGATGTGCCGGTGGACGCTCTGTGCCGGCGTCTGGCTGATCTGTCTCAGGTCTACACACAGAACGCAGAGATGAGGCCGCTGGGCTGCTGTGAGTCTACTGCAAACACCACTGACACACACACACACATTTAACATCATCAGCAGTCACATGACTAAAGCGTCTAGATGGACAGACAGACAGATACAGTCAGGTCTATAAATATTTGGACCGACACAATGCTAACATGTCTGTCTCTGTACAGCAGCACAATGGATTTGAGATGAAGAGGATGTGCTTCACCTGCAGACGGTCAGCTTTACTCTGAGTGTTTACATCCACATCAGCTGAACACTGGAGGAGTTACAGCAGTCTGCAGATGTGCTTCTCACTTGTTAAGGGTCCAAAAGTAATTGGAGAGAGAAATCATAACTCAAACTGTCACTCTTTACTACTCGGTTCAAATCCTCTGCAGTGGACTACAGCCTGAAGAGTGGAGCTCAGAGACATGAGCAGACGCTGGGTTCAGTCCTGCTGCTGCTCTGCCAGACCTCTACTGCTCTGTCTTCAGCTCCTGCTTGCTCTTGGGGCATTTTCCCCTCAGTTTAGTCTCCAGCAACTGAAATGTATGCTTAATCAGGTTCAGATCAGGTGATTGAGCTGGCCATTGCATAACATTCCACTTCTCCTTCAGAAACTCTTTGTTTGCTGTTGCAGTGTGCATTGGCTCATTCCCCATCTGCTCTGTGAAGCGTTTGGCTGAATATGAGCAGAGAATACTGCCTGAGACACTTCAGAAGTCATCCTGACACATGCCCACGCCATCACACCACCATGCTGCATGCTGAGGGTCACGAGCAGCTCCTCTCCATACTCTCCTCCTCCATCACGCTGGTACACATTGATCTTGAGCTCATCTGTCCAGAGGATGTTGTTCCAGCACTGTGAAGGCTCTAACAGAACTCTAACCTGGCCTCCTGTGTTTGAGGATCACCAATGGTTTACATCTTGTGGTGAACGCTCTGTGTTCACTCTGGTGTAGTCTTCTCTGGATTGTTGTTGTGAGGGTGTGTTCTCCAGCAGGGAGAGAGTTCTTCAGTCCTCCAGCACTGTAGTCTCCGTGGTCTTCCGGGTCTGTTGGTGTCGCTGAGCTCGCTGCTGTGCTCTGTCTCTTTAAGAACGCTCCACACAGTTGTTTTGGCCGTGTGTGGTGTTTCTGCTCTCTCTCTGGGTTTGTTCTGTGTCTTCAGCCTGACGATGACCTGCTGGACTGACAGTGACAGCTCTTAGGATCTCATCGTGAGAGTTGACAGTAACAGATTCCACATGTTAACAGCACACTTGAGATGAGCTCTGGAGCTTTAATCTGCTCATTGTAATCGAGATAATGCGGGAATAACACACACCTGGCCGTGGAGCAGCTGAGAAGACAACTGTTTGATTACTTTTGGACCCTTAACAAGTGAGAAGCACATCTGCAGACTGGTGTAACTCCTGTAATGTGGATGTAAACACGCTCAGAGTAAAGCTGACCGTCTGCACATCTTGACCATCTCAAATCCATTGTGTCAAACATGTTAGAATTGTGTCTGTCTAAACATTTGTGGACCTCACTGTAGATAGAAAAGCCACACGGGTCTATACCGTGCCTCATGCCCTTCATTCACAAGTCCTTCTGTTCATTTATTACATTATTAACACCTCAGTTCAGCTCTGTGCTCACTGTGTGTGTGTGTGTGTGTGTGTGCAGGCATGATGCTGATCTCCATGGACCCCCAGAAGGGCCCCATGCTGTATAAGTGTGACCCGGCGGGATACTTCTGCGGCTTCAGGGCCACCAGTGTGGGAGTCAAGCACACCGAGGCCAACAGCTACCTGGAGAAGAAGATCAAGAAGATGCAGAAGAAGAAGGAGGAGGTGGAGCTGGACTTTGACAGCAGCGTGCAGGTGAGTCACACACACACGCACACACAATGATCAGTTGAGAACATGCGCTGTGACTGCTGTTGTATGTGTGATGGTGTGTTTTTGACTGAAGGGTTGATGACTCTGGCCGGGGCTACAGATGATAAGGAGCCTCATTTGTGGCAGTTTTTACTGTTGATTAATGAGCATTGCCTCTGTTAAATAAATAAATAAATAAAGGGGTTTCCCAGTACTGGGTTGCAGCTGGAAGGGCATCCGCTGTGTAAAACATATTCTGGAATAGTTGGCGGTTCATTCCGCTGTGGTGACCCCTGATGAATAATAAAGAGACTGAGCTGAAGGAGAATGAATGAACATGTTAGTGTACACGCTTATAATCTGACGACTTTTTGGGTTGTGTTTAGATTGTGTGATCAGTGTGTGTCAGTAGAGATGCTGAAGTGTGTGTGTGTGTGTGTCCACCAGATGGCGATCTCCTGCTTGTCTTCTGTTCTCTGCATGGACTTTAAGTGCACTGAGCTGGAGGTGGCCGTGGTCACTAAAGAAAACCCTAAATTCAGGTACACACACACAAACACACACACACGCGCACACACAGAGTCCTTCAGTAACTGAGAACTTAAAATAAAAAGTTAAGATAAATATTCATTAACCATTAAAGAACAAAACAATAAGTAAATACGGTAGTGTTTTTGAACCATACTATAGTAAAATAGATTAGTTCATCTGCTGTGATGATTCTAGAGTTGCTATGGAAACACAACAACTACAGTAATTGATCTGTTGTGGCAATTGTACAGTCGCTATAGTAACAACTACAGTAATTGATCTGTTGTGGCGATCCTACAGTTGCTATGGAAACACAACTACAGTAATTGATCTGTTGTGACGATTCGACAGTTGCTATAGTAACACAACAGTAACTGATCTGTCGTGGTGATTCTAGAGTTGCTATGGTAACACAACTACAGTAATTGATCTGTTGTGGCGATTCTACAGTCGCTATAGTAACAACTACAGTAATTGATCTGTTGTGACGATTCTACAGTCGCTATAGTAACAACTACAGTAATTGATCTGTTGTGACGATTCTACAGTCGCTATAGTAACAACTACAGTAATTGATCTGTTGTGACGATTCTACAGTTGCTATAGTAACACAACTACAGTAATTTATCTGTCGTGGTGATTCTAGAGTTGCTATGGTAACAACTCCAGTAATTGATCTGTTGTGGCGATTCTACAGTTGCTATAGTAACACAACTACAGTAATTGATCTGTCGTGGTGATTCTAGAGTTGCTATGGAAACAAAACTACAGTAATTGATCTGTTGTGGCAATTCTACAGTGGCTATAGTAACAACTACAGTAATTGATCTTCTGTGGTGATTTTACAGTTGCTATGGTAACAAAACAACTACAGTAATATAAACAACTGAGCCACTACTGTAGTTAACTACAGCTATAGGGTATTTTGCACCACAATACTCCGCAGTTTACTGTAGTAAAAGCTAATGTGTGCTCCAGCATTTATTACAGCTGTACTAATATACCGTCACACTGCTGTAGTTAATTCTATATATATATATATATAGCTATAGTTCATACTGCTATAACTGAAACATCCATTAACATAGAGTTTTACTATAATACTCTAATAATAAATACACTATACTACACTTGACTGTAGTATGCTTCAAAAACACTACAGTATTTACTCTACAACTGGAGTATCTGAGTATCTGCGCTGTATTTTCGAGAACTCTTTATTGACAAACTGTAATGTTGCTGTTGATAAATAACTAATAACACAACAAATAAACAAAACAACGATAGGACAGTCAAAATACATGTATTTCATTTCATTTAATTTGTTCACAAATTAAATGAAATTAAGTGTGTGTGTGTGTGTGTGTGTGTGTGTGTGTGTGTGTGTTGCAGGACTCTGTCAGAAGTGGAGATCGAGCGTCATCTGGTTGCAATCGCAGAGAGAGAGTGATCAGTGTGTGTGTGTGTGTGTGTGTGTGTTTTCTACTTTTACACTGCTCTGTTACTCCACACCCTCAGTCCAGACACCAGCAGACTCTCAAATAAACCAATATTACTGTCCACCGTCATCGTCTACTGCACTTACTGTACACACACACACACACTCTTCTGTTCTGGTACTGTGGTGATTTTTGAAGCAGCGCTGTGTTTTCTCCACATGATGGCGACACTTGCTCATGTCCTGTGGACTTAATTCAAATGCATCTTTGTAGAGATTATTTTACTGACAAACCCACAACACACTGACCAGAGCTTTAATGAAGTGTACAGACATTTACAAATAAACCCGGATTTTGGACTTTTCTAGTTGATTTGTGTGGAGCTTTTGCTGTTTACTATATATACAGTCCAGAGATTCCTCATGAACATCTTCAGGTCTCCTCATGTCCACACACACCTTCATATTACAATAAGAATAAAGCACAAATGACTTTATTAAAGAAGCTGCGCGCACGTGTGTGTGTGTGTGTGTGTGTGTGTGTGTGTTAATGTATGTATGTGTGTGTGTGAGGGCGTACGCATGATTGCTTGTGTGTGTATGAGTGTGTGTGTGTACAAGTGATTATTGTGTGTATAAATATGTGTGTGTGTGTGTGTGTGTGTGTGTGCGCGTGTGTGTGCGCACACATATATAAATGTTAGTGGGTAGTCTGTGTGTTTGCCTAAATGTGTGTGTGTGTGCGTGTGTGTGTGCGTGTGTGTGCGTGCGTGTGTATAAATTGTGTAGTGTGTGTGTGTGTGCCGCACTCGTGGCTGAACAGGGTTAATCTCCATCTTGCCCTTTACTACACTAATCACACACACACACACACACACACACACACACACACACACACAGATACATATATACACCCCCCCCTCCACACAGACACACACATACACACACACACAAGTCTGAACTTTACACTCAGGAAGGTTATGATAATCTACAGATGTGTGTCTTCAAACGGGTCCTCTTCATCAGCCTGTCTGTCTCTCTGTTAATCTGCGGTGTGTGTGTCAGCAATTCATACACACACACACACACACACATACATACAAGTGTGCGCAGACAGACAGATTGAGCTTAAATCCTGCAGGACGACGACACAGATGGACACACACACACACACACACACACACACACACACACACCCAGACCTTGAAGAAGGTGAACATTTGAAGAAACACACACACACACATATGTACATGCTTACAGAAATATATACACACGCATACACGTTCTTATACTCGCAAATTACATATACACACACTACACACTCATTCAAACACACACACTCACACACAAACACACACACATTTATATATGCACAAACACACTTTCATTTTTACAAACACGTATACCTTTATATACACTACATAAACACACACACATACACACATACACACACAAATGAAAACATTTATTTACACTTACACACTCTGACATTCTTATACATACAAACACACACAGTCTAACCCACAGACTTCACACAAACACCCATCATACACACACACACACACACACACACACACACACACACAAATGAATACATTTATTTACACTCACACACACTCTGACATACTTCTACACACACACAGTCTAACTCACACACTTTACACACAAACCCAACATACACACACACACACACACACACAACTGGAAATATATATATATACGACCACAAACACTCTCACATATACAGATTTATATACACACACACAGACACACACTTCTGAAAACAGCTGACACACACACACACACACACACACACACACACATCCATGTGTTCAGTCAGGATTTCTGGTGTGACATGTTTGTATTTTGTAAGTTGTGTTCGTTTGTAAGTTACAGTAGGTGTGTATGTATGTTGTATATAAGTATATATATGATACTTCATATCAGTCCTGTTCAATATTTCAGTCACGGAGACACACACACACACATTTCAGCAGGCCTCTGAGTGCTGCTTTCAGCCTGAGCTCTGGTTGGAGGAGAGTGTCACATGACCCATTACATCACTGGATTGAGGTCAGGCCTGGATTAGAGAGAGAGAGAGAATGGAGAGATTAGGAGCTGTTCAAAACACTGGAGGAACCAGTGAGACCACACACACACACACACACACACACACACACATATGTACACACACGCACACTCATGTACATACACATACACACACACATACATATGCACCAGGCCCGGATTAAGAACTCAGGGGCCCCTGGGCACATTATCTTGTAAGGCCCCCTACCTGGCCGCACCCCTATAGGTGAATTTAAAAAATAAGAATAATATAATAATTTTTAAATAAAATGAATTTATAATTTGTTGCCCACATATTTAAATAAATGATATATAGTACATATGTATTTATAGTCTGCAAAGATTTAAATTATTTTTCAAAGCATTAAATAAAAATACTAATAAAACTACATATTTATATATATATATATATATATATATATATATATATATATATATATATATATATATATATATTTTTTTTTTTTTTTTTTTTTTTTTTTAAATATTTTTTTAAGGGTATTTTAGTGTATTGCTTTTACAAACTTATAAAGCATATTATTGCCATGGCATATAACGCACAATGCTTCTCCAATCCAGTTCTATGAATCTGAGTTCTATGAATCTGAGTCTTTCATAATACAAACACTAATTTACTGTCTCTCTCTCCTCTTCTGGGCCTTTCTCTCTCTCTCCCTCTCTCTCTCCCTTTCTGTCTGTCTCTCACACGATGAATCCAGTCCGCGCTGCGCTGCCGTTAGCCTCCTCCGCCTGGTTAATGCTAGCCACTCATCATTTAAAGTTACCATAACGTCTTCTTCTGTACCCTCATTCTCCTGATCACGGGTCTGTTTAAAGAAGGTGTGTATGGAAAATGCCTCAATAAAGATGCCTCCTCTCCTCTTTCTCTTGCGTTTGCTAAATCCACTTGTCCACTCATTTTTGATCTATGACAGATATAACGTTACACTAAAGTCAGCTCAGTTTAGTGCGGGTTATTACAAAACTGACGTTTCCGCACTTTACCAATTACAGCATTCTGTTTAATTAAAGAAAGAAAGGCAATTTAAATATAATAATAATATTAATATGTGATCGCGATTTTTTTGCTCAGAGGAAATACAGTTGTCTGAGCAATAGAGTTTTTGAAGAGAGGGAGGCGCGGCAGGTGCCTATAATAAGGCTAAACATTATTAAATACCCACGAGACACTTGTGACTTTATATCACAATTTGCATTATTTAAAAAAAAATGTTTCTTTCCTGTTAAAAATAAATATATTTCCAATCTGATATGTAATGGGGAGAAAAAAAAAGTAGCACGAGTTCAGCTGATGGTGGATTTGAACCGATGTTATGATTAATCGCGTCAAAAGATGATGCCGTGTGCCTTACAAGGTGCGCCACTGCGACTGTAAATTTCACTGCTCTACACTCATCTTGTCTCTATCAATCAGGCATCGATGGGCGTAAACCCTGAATAGCTTAGTCTAACTACATGCGCTATTTGCAATTAGCCTAAAAAGACACTCCGACATTGTCTTTTTTTCTCCCCCCTCGCAGGGGCCCCTAGTGCGCACGGGCCCCTGGGCCTGTGCCCATAAGGCCCATTGGTTAATCCGGCCCTGATATGCACACACATATACACACACACATTTATACGCACACACAAATGTACACATATATATACAATTGTACACACAATTGAAGACACACACACACACACACATACATACATACATACATACATACATATACACATACACATATTCACATGCACACGCGCATGCATACACATATAAATACACCCACAAAAAAACACACACACATATACATATTTACACACATGCACACAAATGTACACACATACACGGACACATACACACGCACACACATATATATATACACACACACATACATACATACATACACACATACATGCACACAAACAAATTTATACACATACATATATGTACACACGTATACACACACACACACATATATATATATATATACATACACACACACACATGCACACATAAATTCATACACATATATACATGTACACACGTATACACACACACATGCACACACATATATATACATAAACAAACACACACACACACACTCACTGCTCTCCTGACGGACTCTTTCTCCCTGTGCCATTATTCAGAGACAGTTTAATGATGTTTGTTTTCGCTGCAGGATTAATCTGCTGCTGGTGAAGTCAGAAATGCTGAAAGCAGAAAAACACAAACACAAATCCACAGAAATCGGACAGCGAGACGAGCAACAGCACACACAAACCAAATCAAGATCAGTCGTGAGCTCCACAGATGATATAGACAATAGAGGATTTCCGGGATCTTCAGAGAGATCGTAACGTCTCGGAGATGCTCAGAGATCATGATCTCAACTCATCTTCACGTGACGTTATACTTGTTAGATTTGAGATTTGGTTGTAATTCCCTGTTTTAAAATGCCAGTCTCTATGACTGTTTAAATTATTAATATCATCGAGTTTATTCAGACATAATCTCCTGCCAGTACTAATATAGAGAGACAGATCACACTGTACTGTTTATTCAGACACACACAGTACCTCAGTTTGACTTTCAGGCATGGTTTGATGGCAGAACATATATAAGTGGCTGACTGTGTTAGAAATCCTGTAATATAAGAAGAGATTACAAAACTGAAGTGTATTACGGTATTACCACATGTGTGTGTGTGTGTGTGTGTGTGTGTGTGTGTGTGTGTGTGTGTGTGTCATCTTTCTACAGTATTAATCTGTGTTCATTAGCACAGCAGTAGCAGAGTGAATATAGCTGGAGAGTGTTTTCTGGAACACAAGGTTGAGAATCGTGATCAGAAACTGCAGGTGCCAAACACACCTGAAGATAGAGAGAAGAAGAAGAGAGAGGGAGAGAGAGAGAGAGAGACGGAGGAAGAGTGAAGTGAGAAACACACAGTAATCCACACTAATTCACTTTGTAGAGCGCTGGAGCCTAAGAGGATTGAGACATTCTCTAAATTAGACCAGTAAAAATAACAAACCACAGGCAGACGGATAGATAGATAGACAGACAGACAGACAGACAGACAGACAGACAGACAGACAGACAGATAGATAGATGGATGGATGGATGGATGGATGGATGGACGAATAGATAGATAGATAGATAGATAGATAGATAGATAGATAGATAGATAGATAGATAGATAGATAGATAGATAGATAGATAGATAGATGGATGGATGGATGGATGGATGGATGGATGGATGGATGGATGGATGGATGGACGAATAGATAGATAGATAGATAGATAGATAGATAGATAGATAGATAGATAGATAGATAGACAGACAGACAGACAGACAGACAGACAGACAGACAGACAGATAGATAGATAGATGGATGGATGGATGGATGGATGGA